AAAATAGCATTGTGAGTAAGCAGAAAAACTGATTACTGATCCATAAAGGAAATTTAAGAGTTGATTCTACAAGAGTACAAGCATTTTCTCCTCCTATGCACATGAGGAGCATCATTTTTCTTCCACTGCAGGGGAAGTGTCACTTTGAAATGGACTCTCCGAGTGTCACTTTGAAATGGACTCTCCGTCCCTGAAATACATAATTCAGGACATTTCCTCAAGGTTTCTTTCCTCTTTTTTCTTTCTTCTCCCCGCCCCCCCCCTTTTTTTTAGCTTTTATCTGGATTTTTGGGGGTTGGGGGTTTTTTGTTTGTTTTTTTCTTTTTTTTTTTCTTTTCTGTTGTGCTCTATTTCGGGTCATTTAGACCATACACTTTGATGGAGGGCATCCTTCTCTGAATTTATGAATCAAAATGTATTCTCCAATGGATATCTGGAGGTATAATTTGCCCCCTAACACTCTTCAATCTTTATTGCTGACACATTCAAGGATGCCTAACTCCCACAAGAAAAAAACCCACATTAATCTTCAAAAATATGTCCTTACCTGCCTTCTGAAAATGAAAACGGATGTTCTTTGAGAAATTACCTGAGTTTCACTGCAAACCCTGAGGATCATGCACTTTTGGAAACAATTTTGAATCTGAAAAATGTATAAATAAAAATACTCTGGTAGATTCAGGCCATACAAATCCTGCATGGTGCTCAGTCTTTCCTTGGAGGCATGAAGCACTCAGCTTCCCTCAGCAGATGTCAATAGGAATCAAAACCACTCAGCAGCTTGCCGGATGTAATCCGTGGGCTTCCTACATATACTTTTTCTGCATACTGGAGAGAATGGCTTTTTTGCTTAATGCTTTTGTAGGCGATACTACACTATGGAAATAGCTCCAAAGCACACACTGTCACCCATCCATGCTAAATCAAACACCCATTCAATTACTACTGAAGTTAAAAAAATAAAACAGCTAGGCTGGGAATCTGAAAGCAGACAGGCTACTCAAAGAAAAGACCTAAGATGACCTTTCTGTTTTGAGGTAGTGCAAGCAAAAAACACAACTCTAAAGAAAAAGTGATGTCTTCCACGTTACATATTCCTTCTGCTGCCTTACGCACAGAAGAGCTTTGGAATAACCTTTGAAGGACAGGTCACAACACACCAGGGAGCATTCCCATCTCCATACTCTCAATTTAGCAAGAGACCTAATAAATGCCAGTCACAGAAAAAGAAATTGTGAAGGCTTGTAGGATTTTAGCAAAATTGTCTTCATTTTGAGCTGGTCCTGTGTAGCTAAAAGTATAAGTAGATGCACAGTTGAGGTTCACCGGACACAACTTAATCCTTTCCTTTTTCCTTTCTTTTAAAAATTTTGTTTTATTTTAAAATTGTCTACTTAGAATTGACTTTTAGTTCTAAAGTATTACGAGAAAAAAATGTTTGATTTTATTTTCATCTCCTTAAAATTATTAACCTAGATATTTACTTATGCATACTAAGATTCTCCTACATATACTCAATTGGATATAAAACCTGAGCTCTCCAGATGGCCAAACTCTATTTTACTTTAGGGTAAATACCTGTATTTTGATTCTTTGCACTGAAACAAGAATTTTTGAGGCTATGCCATAGCAACTTTTCTAAAAATGTTAAAACATGGATAAATAATATGGACTATACAGTATGTGCAAAACCTGCCAGATGCTTTGTATCTCTGCATCTCAGTATCTCCCAGTGGGCAATACCCCCAGTCTCCTGTTCCCTCTGATGCACAAACATGAAATAAATGATACTTAAAATTAAAAAGAAGACCAAAACCAAACCAAAACCCCAAACAATTTATATTCCGTTAATTTGTTTTAAATGAAATGGAAAATTTCCCAAAAGCATCAAGATCCAAGCAGTGGTAAAACTTACTAGAAGAGATGGAAAATATGAATAATTTTAATCAGTGTTTTAACATGCTTTAAAAGAGTCCATACCAACCTCTGGTGCATATGCATATGATCAATGAGAAATAGTTTTCTCTAGTTTTCTCCCTTCTCCATGTCCATCCTAGAGAAATTTTTACTTTAATTCAGCTTCTTAATTGGTGTCTAGGGCTAATACAGTTTTAAACAGTACACCTACAAGGAACAATTAAGAATAATCCACCTTTGACTGGTACTCACTTTTAAGATTCAAATAGAAAATAAATAGAGCTAGCAGAAGACAGAAAAATCACAGGCAATTGACCCAATTTAAAGTTAAGTAAAATCTAGGAGAAGCTGCTGGTTTGTATTGGCAGTCATGAATAATCAGATTCCCCAGGATGAATTTTTGCAGTTTCTGGAGCTGTGGCGTTCCCCAGCAGAAATGCATCCCCCCGCGCCCCCATGTAAATACTTCATGAGCTACACCCAGTTACCTGCAAACACTGTTGACTCAAATCCCAGTCATCAAAAAGGATCAGCTGAGTTGTTCAACATCCATTCTCTTTTCCAAGCAATGGAAAACATTAACGAAAACCCTTGCTGTTCCCTACGCGTGTCTACTATCATACATTCTCTCCACTGATATGCCAACAAAAGAAGGGTAAGAACTGAGGAGGTAAAAGCATTCCTCTCTCCTGTTCACAAATACTGTTTCATGCACTCTTTGTCCAACCATCATTCAATGCCTCTATCTACAGTTTTTTGTCCTCTGACGTTACACACCTACTTGAAAGGCTTTCAGGGGAAAGATCATTTCTTTGTCCCATATTTCTACAATGCACTTCATAGAAGACTGTGTTCAATAGCCAAAACATTTCAGATCTACAAAGGTTCACCAGGAAAATAATAACAATAAGGCGCTAATATCAGCTGACAGCCTACAGAGCAGTGGTAAATAGTACTCCCTCCTGCCTACCAACTTTCCAGCATCCTGAAAGTCACTTCTTCAAGCCTGGTGATATGCAGATACCTTATTCCCTAAGCAGTAGCTAGACAGACATTTCGTCCTCCAGATGTTACTCCTCCCTCTCTCTACCCGAGGCAGACAATTCTTTTACAATAATTCAATTTCATGAGCTACACAGAAATACATAAGGGTTATTTATATAGCATCAAGATTACGTTGGTACCCAGAATTGTTCAGAATAGGATCATTAGGCTGCTTGTCCCTATAAGCTGCCGTTACGGTTAAAAATAGAAGTTATATATCTTTGACCATGAATGGCTAACTCCACAGATCTAAAAAAGGAGGCATGACTACCAGTTTCTACACAAGACATACATAAGCAGGAAGGGGGATTAGAGGCTGAAACCACAAAGATGACAGAGAGCCCAACATAGAGCATCTTGTGAAGAAATGGCAAACATACTTTCTCCCAAGCGTTTCACCTGACAAGACCATATTAGACTGGACTTTAACTGCACATAATGCTTGTTTTTAGTGTTAAAATTTTACACAGCCCTACATTTTGGCTCATAAAACATACAGCATTTGCAGTGACAACAGAAATTACTTTGCAGTTTTAACAAGACTGCAGCTTGCCATGTCACCTTCAAAGTAAAGGTATTGAACCAACTATTATTAAAAATCATGAGGAATTCAGATCTTGCTTTCAGGATATACTACCCAGCCATAATACCCGTTCGATTGAGGCCAGACTTCTTGTATGGAGACAGCATCATTATTTCATGAATCACCAGTGACCTTTGGAAGATACTAGGAAAAGCAGGCATGTTCATTCCCTTCCATTGATTTTCTAATTTTGAGTAAATTGGTTTAATCTGGGGAATGGTTATCTATTAGGAATAAAAATACCTAAACTGACTTTAGAAAACAGTATGAAGCTTTTGAACTGAAACAATGAATTTAGAAGGGAAACTTGAGGCAAAGAGGTAGTGATTATATAAATCTTAACTTGGGCATGATTCTGTGGCCAGCCACACAAGTATGAAAGAATTGGAATCTCGCTAAACTTAGAAGAGAGATCTACAGGCCCAGACATTTATTATACTGCACTTTGTGTCTGGAATATGTGTCTGGTTTACCTATTAAATATCTGCTGTTGGAAACGCCTGCAGAACTACTCACCTAAAATGGGAAGTGGTATGGGTATCATTTTCACCTAGTTAAAATAAGAAATAATGTGCTGAATATTGAGACTGTTGGACAGTCCTGAATCTAACCAACTCAGAAGATAAATGCAGTAAATCAGCACATACCTGAAACAGCCTGCAAGAAAATAACTTGGTCATCTCCAGGAACCTAAGAGCACACAGGGCTACATAACTGAAGGAAATGGTGATTTATAGAGTAACTGTTTAGGTCATCATTGTATTGGTGCCCAGATCTCATATATTCTGGTAACTAAACCTTTGTCTTAACAGATTGGCTCTACTTTATTATCTTCTGAACATGAAATGATCATACCTAAGCTTTCTTTGCTATCAGTTTATGCTCTCATAACATTAATGATCTATACTAACCATAGATTTTGGCACTATGGTAGTTCACCTTAGAGCCACATGCAGACTACCTGTCCCTTTACTATTCCTTTTTTGTGTTTTCATTTTTTGCCTATAGGGTACCAAGTTAATTAGTCCATTAAGTCCACTCAATAAAAAGAAAATTCTAGAAAAGGGTTTAAAGCAACAAACTGTAAAAATCTCATAGCAAGCTATATGCACAATTAGGTTTTTGGTTTTGGGCTTTTTTTTTTTTTTTTTACTTCCAAACAGTCAGTTGGTAACTCAAAGTTGAATTCCACTTATTCCTGAAATCTTCACTCTCACCATCCAACACGAAATATCTTGCCCAGAAATTATGAACTACTAGATTTATAAATATTGATCAGAGCATATAACTTCTTATGCCCAAATAAGAAATAAACAGAACTCTTAACAGACTCCTCAAAGTTGAGCATCTGAATCCCCACCCCCGCAATACTCTGAACCTCTTTTCTCATCACAGAAGAAGATTATAGGCACAAACATTAAAATGTCAGACTGGTGATAGGAAAATGTTCACTTACCTCACGATCCAAGAGTACAGGCGGCACCACTGTAACAATATCTCCCTTTTCCGGGTCAATATAGAACATATTTGGAGATGGTTTGGTAGGTGTCTGTTGGAGGATGTTATACCGCAGAAGAGCATTGTCTGTGCTAGAGTCATCAGCATCAAATGCTGTCATATGCATCACAGTCGTTCCTAAGGGAAAGGTGGACAGACAACAGAATGCAATTAGCAAGAACATGTAAAATTATACTGCCTTCACATGTGAGAACCAGGTGGGTATAATACGTAATTATCTCATCAAGACCACTAAATAGTTTCACCTGATACTTAGTCTGTGCTTGTATTTTTTTTTTACTTGCTACTGAGCCAACCTCAAAAGACTAGCATTTCTGGTTTACAACAGATATATGACTCTAACATAAGTTCCCCATATTTGTATGATTTGTTGCCATCCATATTAATTGCATTTCACTACATAAACTACAGATATATCTTTTTTCACTTTAAATTCTACAGGTAGAAAGCCTACAAGATATTTATGATGATGACGACAATGCTAAAATAAGAGAAATGTCTCTATTTTCACTTTAAAGTCTTGCACAGTTTCGGAATTGTTTGGACATTACAATTTCTGTCAATAAGAAATTCTTTTGAAAAAAATCTAACTTAAAGTAACATATCACACCAAAACTAAAGTATTTCTGGTAATATTGACCTGAAGAAAGAGTAAAATCCTACCAAATAAGAAAAAAGTCATGATCAAATCAACAAACTAGTTTCAATGGTGAATCAAAGTTAAGTAACAAATTAATGCACACGTATTAGCAAGCTTTATAGAAATAAGGAATCCAGGAAGGTATCCATTCTTTTGCTTAAAAATCCCAACTAAAACAATTTATCAAATTCCATCAACTAGACAATTTACATTTAAGTAGCTTAGCACTGAAACCATATTATCTAATGTGTGAACCACAATGTCAAATTTATTTATAATTCTTTGTTTCAGACTAATTCTTATGTGGTGGTTAACCCTTTCTTTTCCCCCATAGACTTTCAGTGCGCAAGTATTATTTTAAAATATCATGATAAAAAACATTTCAAATACAACATTTTCATTTCTTAACAGGTCTGTAAGACCATATGATCTGTCCTCAGTATCCACACAGCCTTTTGTGGCAAAACAACTACAAGTGATTAAAACCTCCTGGTACAGACGAGGCCTAAGACATTACATTGGAAGTGCCTGCGGAACAGAAACATGTACCGTTCATGTACAATGATAGACAGTGCATTTATATCCTTTGTGAAGGTCTTGAAGCACAGATCACTTAAAAATCAAATAAAAATGAAATATTGTGGTAAAACTAAAAACAAACCCAGCTTCATTTACAGGCTGACGTAACTACTGCCTGGTTCACTGTTAAACACACACAGCTGGCTTGTTTAGATATGTTTCTTCTTTTTTTCTTTTGCTGTACTTCACAGAGTACAAAGTATTGCCTCTTGTTGTAGTGACCTTGAATATAAGCTCTCAGAGGTTTTGCTTCATTGCTACTTCAGGCAGAGTTACCCCCTTGAGAAAAATAACAGAGATCTGACAGCATGTTGGTTTTATTCACCAGTGATTAAAGGTCAGACAGCTCAAAAAGCAGCTTACCACTGGATACCATGCCATGTTTTCCAATATTACAAGATGATCCTAGCCCTGATATTTTCACCTACTTTGTTTGAGACTTCTTCAGAAGAAAAAAGAGCAGCTTTCTGTTCTGAAGAATGAAGATTCACCCTCTTTTCACACGCACAACACACTGTGCTCTTTTTTAGACATTTATTGCATTTTGAGATTATTTATAATCATAGTAGATAACGTGTTTCGCAAAGATATCCTAAGTCACGAGACTTCAGTGAAATAAATAAGAATTAAGGCAAATATTCAAGTGATCTTAAAGAGTGCCCAAGTACAAGTGAAGTTCAATGGGTTTCAGTGCGCAACCCTTTCCTGAAAAATGCAATTTAATAAGATGCTATACTCAAGTACATTAGACTATATTTTGAGTGAATATACAGTTGCTACCATTATTAATCTATTAGAGGAGCTGATGCTCAGCAGAGATTTAGAAACTGATTAAAATACATATTCAGGTAAAAATCCTATTTATACAGTTGTCCTAGACAGTTCTGCTAAAATCTTTCTGATGATAAGACTGTGGAAGACACATGTAGATTTTAAGGTCTGATGTACATGCCCAAATCTCAAGTTACTCTGGCATAAAACTGGCTCAATACAATGGCTGAATCTGATTCTGATTTGCCAGCTGCAGTTCTTTAACCTTTCAACTCACTGGACATTATCTTGTTCTGTGCAATCATTCCTCTGGTGCATACAGATTAGAAAGTCCAGCAACTCAGAAGAGCAGAATTTTACATTCATTTTTCATAGAGATGCTAGCTCCGGGAGGAAAGCTGTAGAGAATTAGATCCATTTGTTTCTGTGTTTCTTTTGTCAAAAGTTTTGAGATATTGGTTTCTAGCTACCATCAAACTGGCATTTACATTTAAGTAAAAGTTATTCTATTCTCACAAGTTCATGTAACAGATGTAAAAATGCACATAAAATTTGGGGTTGTCTTTAGATGTCATTATGCATTAGTACAGTCTATGTAAGGTTGTACCTATTTTCTGTTCATGCACATCAGTACAGAAAACCACACCTCTTTAAACGTCACCTATATGCTCGCATCACTACAACAACCAGAGGAGCTGCCGAATACTGTGGCTGAAAACAAAAAGGAAGCGTTGGAAGTTGGTGCTAGGCTTCTGCAGCCATGCTGAGAACGGCTTACCCTCAGAAACATAGCCTGCACACTCTTGTGCTCACAAGCAGGTTTGCAAACTAACGGGAGTTCAATGCTGTCCATTCTTTTCAAAGCACAGTGGTATTCCATTAAAACAAAACAAAACCAAACCCCCACATACACAAAAAGCTAGAACGGGCTAGTATTTGTGGTTGATGCCTCAAAAATCACAACAGCTTTAAACCAGCAGCTAAAGTACAATCCAGGGACCTTTTTGAGAAGTCTGATAGCTGTAATTCCAGGGAAGAACTTTCCTATCCTAGTTGATGTGTTCACAGAGAGAACACACATGACCATACATTTGGGATTGGACCACCACAAAAGATAATGTTTATAGAGATCTCTTTCCTAAAAATCTAGTGACACAAATTTTTATTTTAAAAGGCTCTACAGCATACATCTGGTCCAAAAGAGTTTAATTCAAGATGCACGCTTCCCCAGTATTACTCCTTCATCATAAAGTTTTATTCTTCATAAAAGATTCATTTCCCCAGACCCATAAACTGACTACTTCTAATTCAGTGTCATTTTATAAATACTTCCATTCCTGGCATCAATCAAATGCAGCTGGCTTTCAAACCACAAAACAACAGCTTGCTACATTATCATGTTAAACAATATATATTAACTTATCAAGCCGAGGAAGAAATGTCTGCAAAATCAGCAACTTCCTAGTTCTGCCAAAGATGTGCAGATACTCGCTGAGGCAGTCTCTCAGTGAAGGTATAGTTATGCCTTGGTGTATTTCCATATTCATGGTTTATTTGTCACACCTTCTGGGCAGTTTCACTATTACCATAATCACTTAAAACCTCTACTTGCGCCTCCCAGAGTTCCTCATTGATCAGACATATATCCCACTAGCCAAGCCATTGCTCCAGAGGCTGCAGCTATCAATCTGTTGATTGCTCATTTGGTCTGTAAGTTGGCTTGGAAATATTGGCAAAAAACTCCCCTTAGGCATTAAGAAGTAAAACACAATGCTTGCACAATGTTGTGGTGATTGGAGCAGACGGTTTCTTGGGAAAAAGCTCTCTGGCATTTTGTTATTTACCTCTTAATAACCCTTCTATTTCCTTCTTTCTTTCTTTTCTTTTTTTTTCCTTTTTTGTGCTTTTTTTTTTTCTGTCAAGATGCCAAGAGAACATCAGGAACAGTTCAGCTGATGAATGAGATTACTAGTAACCCCCTATCCCTTTCATTTATTCATTTATTTATTATATTCAGCTGCCACGTTTACAAAAAGGACTGGAAAGTAGTGGGAGTGAGGCCTATTTCTAGCTTGATGAAATATGAACAATTGTCTTAAGCCTACAGCATTAAAAGAAGACTCTGAATTTGAATACTAATTTTAAAATATTATCCAGTTTAAGGACTGAAAAGTTTTAACTTTATGAAAGCTACATTGCTCAAAAAATTCACTCTCAAGTTTTCTCATGTGATTTGCACTCTTTTTGTGAGTCTCCATTGTATGTTCAGCACATTAAATGTTTTCTACATGTGCTACATAAGGGGAAGGGTCTACTTTCCTAATTAACATGACAGGATTGCTGAGTTTTATTTCCACCTTCTTCACAAGTTCAGATGTACCTCCGTTCACTGATAATAATCATCTGCACAATGGTATACTTTCAAGTAAAGTATTGTAGTTTACAAGAAGGAGAACAAAGAATGAAAAATGGGATGAAAAAGGAAGAAATGAGGAGGGCTACCTATATCTCTAAAGCACATTACATTTATTGCTACAGAAAAAAGAGACACCCACTTTCAGAAAATGGAGCAAAGGAGGATACCCTCCTGACTACTATACTCATCATAACTAATTACATGTTTGACTGTCATTTTGTACTTTAAAGACAACAAGCACCAGGGAAGCAAAACAAATACAAGAAGAAAGCTCTATTATGGTTCCAATCAAGTGCGTTTGAATTGCAACTGCAGTTATTAACTTATGTGCATTATTAAAAACTTGAAGGCCTTGCTCAATAGAGAAGACATTTAGTAAGAATTAATGAGTTCAGTCTTTTAGCATATCTTACATTTGTATAGGGCAATAATTATTCACCCTGCAGGACTTTTTCACATTTTCTGTTTAGACGTCTGGCAAATTCAGGATATGTGTATACTTTTTAAACTAGATTTTAGATGGCATCACTGATCAGTACACTGGGCATGCCAACACATTGCAGTCAACAGGAGTGGAGAGATGTCCTGGTGAACTATCAATTATGGAATGAATAATAAACAAACTTCTGTTGATACACAAAAGACACTTCAGTAATGTTAAGTAGAGCTGAAGAACTGTGAAGAATTGCTACTATCTATAGAGAGTTAATG